CAATGAACAGGGGCAGACTGACAACTGATGGGGGCCCCCGAGCAATAGGGGATCATGGGGCCTGTGTCCTTGCCCAAACACAAAAAAGGCTATGAAAAAGGTACCAGGGGCATCTCATGGGGCCCCCTACTGACTCCGGGCCCTCGGGCAGTGCCCGAGTTTCCAAATGGTCAGTCCGCCCCTGCCAGTGAAGTGACTGACCTTAGGTGATGCACAGAGATGAAATTAATCCTCCCACATAAGCTGTACCTGTTTATCTGCAACCTTCTCTTTTCTACAGCCATTAAAATGCAGAATTTACACAGCATCTCTCAGCTATGAAAAGCAGGGGGCAGGGAGCTGAAGTTACACTGTACAGAGCTCAGTGAAGGGATCTCGGAGCCCTGATTGGAGGGAAGGGACACACCCTTTCCCCCTGAGGCTGTCAATCTGCTGGAGCTCCCTCCCATTACCTTTTTTCTTGTCAGAAGTGGCTAAGGCTATAGGTTCACACCTATGCAGATTGCGTTTGAGCCATTTCTGCATTGAGTTTTGGATGTGAATTTTCCACATTTTTAATGAGGTTTTTTTTTTGGGGGGGGTTCATTTTTCTTGTTGCTAGGCAGATATAAAATGCAACATGGATCAAAAATGCGGCAACAATGCAATACATGCTTTTCTGCAGCATTTCCATTGAAGTCTATAGAACCAAAAACGCATCTTTTTGCATCCCCGACCCTTTCCAAAAAATGCACCGGGTGAAAACTTACAGATGTGAACATGTCCCATAGGAAATCATGTTAAATAGACTGTACTGCATTTCTGAAAAATACAAAACGCTGCAGAGAATGCTTAGCTGCGATCCTAAGGTTATGCAGATAGAGGAAGGAGGCTGCAGAGAAAAATGATACTAAGTGCTCCGGATTCAGACAAGTACACACTATATGCTGTTTTCATACGGTATTTCATGCTTGAGATTTGCAACCACTTTAAGGATTACATACATGGTGCAAATTATATCTGGACCTTGGGAATTAGGTAAAAAAAATACCCCCTCAGTAGGCTCACCTCTGTACTGCAAGGGTTACATGCTTGCTTAGTCTATGGGTAGAGCAATAGGCTGTAACACTTACATTTTTCTTCCCCCCCCCCCCCCATCCCCCAACAGGCTTTTGGTGCTCACTTCTTTTCTCTGATACTCCGAATTGTGGACAAGCCCTTGTTGTCCTTATGTACAATGCAGGTCTATTGGTCCTGCATTGTACTTGATGACCTAAGAATAAACCCCAAGCCTGAGCATCTTAACAAAAGAAAAGACTTTGAGGGACCAATTGCATAGATGGAGGGAGCCTGCCAGAGCAAGAAATAAGGAAGGTACCACTAGACTAAACAAGTATTAAAAGTAAACCTTGCAGTGGGGGTGGGGGATGCTGCAAGGGTAGTTCTTTAAAATTCCCAGAATTCAACTTTAAGGTCTTGGACCTAAGACCTAACACTCCCAATACTGAATTATGTTTTGGGGTGGTTTAAGAACTGTATGGATGAGCTTTTGTCTTGTGTTGACAGTATCAGTTTGGTGCCATTACACCAGGGCCAGTGCTTCCACTAGGCAAACTAGACAGCTGCCTAAGGCACACTGGCACCTAGGGGCGCCTGGGTGCAGAACAGGCCAGAACTCTCTGCATGGAATGCCACCACGTCATGAATGATCCTCCAGCTGGGGGAGAGGCAGCAGAGGGGAGGAAGAAAAGACAGAGGAAGATACCCAGTGTCTGGGGCCAGTGTAGCAGCTAAGCTGCAGCTCCTTCCAGTGTTCCTCTCAGACGCAGTCTCTTACTGCAACCTGGCTAGCAGCTGCTGCTGATCACTGGAGTTCCAGCCGTTCTGTTCCAATTCATTAGTGGAGGTGAAGCTGTACCTGAGGAAGGTAATGTCTGGCTCTGATGTCTCGTGTCTGTGTGAGTGTGACCCGGCCGGCCACCCATCTATCACATGTGCAATGTGTCAGTGAGTGATGACATCATCACAATCGTAAAGCCTACTTTTCTAGTGCCTGCTGATTTGTGTCAGTGTTAGTGGTGGTGTGTTGTGTTGGATCTGTCACTGTGTGGGATCACTCAGTTCAGGTGTTCGCTCGGTGTGTGTGTGTGTGTGGGAGCTGGGCTGCCTGCTGTCATAGCGTTTTATCTCCTCCCCCTTGCCTGGGGAATTCCAGCTTGGGCTGTCAGCAGGGGTGGACTGACAACTCATGGGGCCCCCAGGCAATAGGGGATCATGGGGCCCCTGTGTCCTTGCCCAAACTCAAAAAAGCCTATGAAAAAGGTACCAGGGGCATCTCATGGGGCCCCCTACTGACCCCGGGCCCTCGAGCAGTGCCCGAGTTTCCAAATAGTCAGTCCGCCCCTGGATGTCAGAGTGTGGATCCATCATCCTCCACTCATTGCCACCCTGCCACTGCCAGCTACAGATACAGTCTGTCCAGGACACTGATTTCATCTTTAACCACTTGTCTACCGGGCACTTTTACCCCCTGCCTGCCCAGGCCAATTTTCAGTTTTCACCGCTGTTGCACTTTGAATGACAAATTGCGCGGTTATGCAACACTGTACCCAAATTAAATTTTTGTTATTTTTTTGAGACAGATAGAGCTTTCATTTGGTGGTATTTAATCACCTCGGGGTTTTTATTTTTTGCTAAACATCCCAAAAACAACTGAAAATTTTGAAGAAAAAAAAGTTTTCTTAGTTTCTGTTATAAAATTTTGTAAATAAGTGATTTTTCTCCTGATGTGTGCTAATGAGGCTGCAGTGATGGGCACTGGTAGGTGGCACTGATGGGCATTGACAGGCATCACTGATGGGCACTGAAAGGCAGCACTCATATATGGCCCTGATAGGTGGCACTGAAAGGCAGTTGAGATGGGTACTGATATGTGGTAATGATGAGCAGTGATGGACACTGACAGGTGGCACTGATGGGCACTGACAGGTGGCACTGCTGGGGCTACACTGATCATCAGGGCACACTGATAATCAGTGCCCTGATGATCAGTGTAGATGTCCCCTCTGAGGAATGCTGATTACTGGCTTTCCTCTCCTCTCCTCTGTCAGTGTGACAGCTCGTGAGGAGAGAAATGCCGATAACCGGCATTTCCTTATTTACATGCGATCAGCTGTGATTGGACACAGCTGATCACATGAGAGAGCCGACGTTTTCGACTCTGTCCGTTGAACGGTGAACCACTGTGTCCCAGGGACACAGCGCACCACCGATCGGCGCGCTGCGTGCTCCCAGGGGCGAGCATGCGCGGTTAGAGTGGGAGGACGTCATTTGATTTGAGGGAGGCGGTTAATATTGGTGCTGGTGGCATCTGTTTTTAATTTTTTTTTTGGGGGGGGGGGGGGGGCGCAAGTAGCTGGTCTTGCCTAGGGCACAAAATAGTCTAGCACCAGCCCTGCACTACACCATTCATTGGAAGGAACATTTGATCTGCATTGACCTCAATTGCATTTGACCTGCTTCTAGTGGTTTTTGTATCATCATAGACTTGTATGGGAATGCAAAGCCTGCTTGAAGTGAACAAAAGCCTGTCTACACAGGTCCATAGGATGGCTTGTTCATTTCCTATGGACATGCACACATTTTCAACTTTAATAAAACATTTTCAGTAAGTGCAATTATGCTATCTCCTGCAAAGTTTTATTGCACAGTGGGGCCCCGTTAGGTATAACTGGCATGGTTTTAAGTAATTTTTAAATTGATACCAATAGAAACATATAATATGTTTTTTTAATAGTTCTGCATGGATCTGCCTCAGTAACCCACACTCCACCCTCTCTTCTATTACCAATTTTTATTATACAGGATTTATATAGCGCCAGAAAGGTTTGCTCAGCGCTGTACATTATAATGGGATACAGTACACGAGACAGTACAGTGACAATATGATTCAATACACGAGGGGTTCAAGGGCCCTGCTCCTTGGAGCTTACAATCGAGGAGGGGATAGTGGTACAGGAGGAAATAGCTGTGGGGGATGGAGTGGTGGGAAGAGCGGAGGAGATCGGCAATTAGGTGAGGGTGGGGTAGGCTTCCCTGAAGAGATAGGTTTTCAGCGTGCGCCTAAAGGGGAGGAGGGTAGGTGACAGTCTAATGGATTGGGGTAGGGAGTTCCACAGGATGGGGGAAGCCCTGGAGATGGGCATGGGAGGAGGAGACCAGGGGACTAGAGAGTAGGAGGTCTTGTGAGGAGCGGAGAGTATGTTTAGGGTGGTATTTGGATATCAGATCGGTGATGTAGTTTGGGACAGTATTATGAACAGCTTTATACGTCAGGGTTAGCATTTTGAATTTTATCCGTTGGGCAATCAGAAGCCAGTGGAGGGTTTGGCAGAGAGCGGTGGCAGATACGGAGTGGTTAGTAAGGTGGATGAGTCTGGCCGCAGAATTCAGGATAGACTGAAGAGGGGATAGCCTGCGGTGAGGTAGGCCGATAAGGAGGGAGTTACAGTAGTCGAGTCGTGATATAATGAGGGAGTGAATGGGTTGCTTAGTGTTTTCCGGGGTTAGGAACGGGCGTATTTTGGAGATGTTGCGGAGGTGAAGTCAGTTAGAAGTTAGAATTGCTTCATTTACAGGTTTCTTTGCTGCTTTCTCTAGTGGCAATACTTTGAACATGCTTACTGAACAACTGCTGTAAGAAATGTTGTTACAGGATAAACCTGAGTACCAATATTGCAGCTTCACATGGGCCCTCTGGGGCTTTGTGAACCATTTTTAGTATAGATTTGTCTACAACATTGTATACATAGTGAATATTTATTTATACTGGGGCAGTAGCTGAATGGGAGAGACAAAAATGTGTTCTTGGCCAGGGCCCCATTGAGGACTATCAGCTAAGCCCTGCTGTGATGTTTAGCACAGGCACTTTTGCAGCTCACAGTGGTGGAATGCTAAGAGTGCCAAAGTAATATAAATCTGTTGAAGGATCTTGGCCTGATCTGAGCTCCCCTTTAACTCACCTCCCAGATAGGCACAATTGTAGAAGCTGCATCTCCTGCTGGACGACTGCAATACAAACTTGTTGCCCTTCTCGATGTAGCGCACAACATGGAAGACCTCATCCACCGGGATCAGAACTTCCTTCTGGGACGGGAAGTAGGAGAATTTCTCTATGGCGGCCCCAAAGCATGTGGTGATGTTGAAGAAGGATGCGTTGCCGAATTGTTGCGCCTCTTTGATGTCGGTAGATGAAGAGGTGAATTGGCCGAGTCTGACAGGGTCACTGAGGTTGGAAGGGGGTTCAAACATGATCTTGCTCGATCCCCGGTATGTGAGCCATGGCTGCCCTGCACACCCATCACGGAGCAACGCCAGGGCTCTGGTGAGGTAAAAATGTAAGGAGTGGAATGAAAAAGATGATGAATTGGTGCCATATTCCCTTACTGCCCGATTTAACTGTTTGTACACCGGTAGGGTCATATTGCTGTAGACTAACAAGGCAATCCCGTACTCTTCTTTGAATCCAGCTGGAAGAGATTTTATCAATGTCTTTCTGATTGGCCATGTTTCAGAGGCGTCCAACCAAGCCACATCCAGCGCCTTGTTTATCTGTCTTTCTTCTTTGAGTATATCTGGTGCCAGGGATTCCATTCTATCCACACATCCAACATATTGGTCATCGAAAGAGTCCTGGTAGATTCCCAGTTGGACCCGTAGACTCACAACCTTCATAGGTTAAAAAAAAAAAAAAAAAAAACACAAACTGAAGCACTGGTTCAAGTTAGTCACACACGTTACAAACAAATTCTACACATTTTGCACACAGTCTCCCTTACACTAACATTTATGTAATGAAAGGGCCTAGCTAAAAATTCATTCTGTTCATACCCATTCTGTTCATCAGACAGTCCCTCACACTACATACTTGCCAGAAAATCTAGGAGCCCTTCCAGACCTAACCATTATGGAGCCTTTCTTTGGCACCCAAAGACAATGCCCCTTAGGTGCACATACATTGCAGCACACCACAATGAAAGTTTGTGCATTATCATGGTCCTAGCAGGGGCAGACTGACCATTCAAGCACTCGGGCACTGCCCGAGGGCCTGGGGTCAGTAGGGGGCCCCAAAAAAAATGCCCCTGGTACCTTTTTATAGGCTTTTTTGGGTGTGTTTTGAGTGTGGACAAGGACACAGGGGCCTCATGATCCCCAATTGCCCGGGGGGCCCCATGAGTTGTCAGTCCGCCCCTGGGTCCTAGTGTGCTACATCAGAAAAAAAATGGTATATGTCCAATTTTTGGCTAATTTGTGTGTGTTAGCATCTCTGCTACACATTATCTGTTTAGCATCTCCTTGGGGAGATCTAACCTATTTTATCCTGGTCACCTGGACCTTTGTCCTGGATCATTTGCCAGGCATAGAGCTTTTGATAGGCTGTCAAATTTGCTTTAACCAGAAATGAACTCTCCTGCACTCTGAGACCCAGATAGGTGGCAGATAGATGGAACCAGAACTGGAAAAATTTGACCACCAGTGCATATAGGGTTGTGTGCGTTTCAAACAAGGCTCAGAGGGGGAAGCCCGACCAGTACTGCAAAGCAAAACAAAACAAAAAGCGCACCAACCTTGCGCCATTACCTCAGTAACAAAATTTTATTCAATACAGAATGATACTCACAAACAGCGAAGTAATTCAAGCATTTAAGTCCTCAAAGGGACTTGAACATTAGGCAGCCTCCGCGAGTGTCAGCACTGCAGTGAATCACAGAGGGGACGCCACCTTAAAGGACCTGCCAAAGTATGTCTGAGCATTTGAGCAAACCATCAGCTGGACTCCCTAGTGCCTCCAACAAGTTTTCTGTGTGATCCCCAGTGACTCCTAACACTTCCAGTGCTCCTGAGACCCAAATATCTGCCAGCTGTATCCTATTCTTGTGTAACCCATGTGCACCCCAACTTTTTTCCTCCAACCTGCTTCCAGCAACCCTGTGACTTACAGCATCCCAGCATTCTTTCTGGCAAATCACAAGAGATTTATTGTTAGTAATGCCTGCTGAGGGAAGATATACATGTTTGAGGTAACCTTGGAGAGTGGTCATTGCCTCCTAGACTTGCCAGGAGAGTACACAGTGTTGGAGGTCTTTTCCTCCCAGGCCTGCTTTTTGGGGAGCTGTGCTGAAAGAGGGTACTGCTGAGTATAAGCTGCTGGTGGTAGTGGACATTTCAAGAAGTTCTGGCTTCTCACCCTAGAAGGTATTCATTTTATTTGGTTGTGCCCAATAGTCCACCAATACAGATTGCCAGCTTCAGCTTGAAGGTCCATAGTCTTATTGGCTGTTGCTGGAAGAGAAGTCTGGAGCCAATTGTATCTACTGTGGGTTATCCTTTGACTTAATCCCCTCTCCTGATTTTACAGTGTTTTGAAAAAACTCTGAGACATACTAAATTGACTGGCACCCTTTAGGTTGGTAGGTTAAGGTCGGGCCCACCTAAGAGGGTTACACTTTTAAAGGCTTCTAGGAAGGAGGATGAGTTTATTTCCTTCCTGGCAGGTTCTCTGAAATAGTGTGGGAGAAGTTTAGGTAGAAGGAGAAAGTTGCTGGCCATGGGAAGGAGAGCCATGAAGGGGAACAGCACATAGAAGCAGGAACTTACCCCTTTTCCTTTCCCCCTGGAGATGGGCACAAGGGATACCTCACTAACCCTATGGGACTAGGGATTGTTTTTGGAGAAAAACCTGTTTTTAACAGACTGTGTTGGGCCCAAGGCCTGATTGACCATAGTACACTGATTCTTCAGCAAAGAAGTTTGTCTACATGCAGCCACTGTGTGAGTTCTTCAGGTAACATAGTGGATGTAGTGAGAGAGCAAGAGTGATCAGAGATGCCACTTGGCTGCTGAGCCCTGGGGAAAGTGGGCCAGCGTCTAGATACCCCTGGGAGTGAGGGGGTACAGCCACACAACCAGGAGAGTGGGCAGAGGATCCACTCACTGGTCCCCCCCACCCGCACATCAAGAGTAATAGAGTGTAACCTACAGGTCAGTACTTTACAGTAATGTGTAATCCAATTTTACCCCCCTACTAAGTTAAAGCATGAGAATGCACCAACCATGGTGCACTGCATGATACAGCCATTTGAATGGCACTCTCAATGTACTATACCTGTAGAGGGCAATGCACTAGACGCAAAAACGGTAATGTAGGTGCATGGTCAGCCCATAAAGTAATGTAACCAGGAGCGGACTGACCATTTGGAAACTTGGGCACTGCCTGAGGGCCCGGGTCAGTAGGGGGCCCCATAAGATGCCCCGGTACCTTTTTCATAGGCTTTTTTTGAGTTTGGGTAAGGGCACAGGGGCCCCATGATCCCCTATTGCCCGGGGGCCCCATGAGTTGTCAGTCCGCCCCTGAATATAACTTAATGTACAACCCCTGTTGGCAGCAAAAAATCCAAACTCAGATAGGTGCTGTCATTTAAAATATAGCTTTGAAGGTGCAAGGATTCAACCTAGGTCTGTAGCCCCTGTCCTCGTTATTTTCACCCTCAGGCCCGGGAGAAATAAAGCTCCGACACAGAAGTGTGCAAGCCAGGGGCGGACCGACCATTTGGAAACTCGGGCACTGTCCGAGGGCTCGGGGTCAGTAGGGGGCCCCATGAGATGCCCCTGGTACCTTTTTCATAGGCTTTTTTGAGTTTGGGCAAGGACACAGGGGCCCCATGATCCCCTATTGCCCGGGGGCCCCATTAGTTGTCAGTCCGCCCCTAGTGCAAGCTAAATCTCTGAAAGTTTAATGCGTGACAAGAACTGTTATACAGAACTCCGTAGGCGTTAATTAATCTCAGGATGACCAATTAAACATTCCATTCTGATCAGTATAGTAACATGAAGACCAGAAACTGCAGTTAGTTGAGGGATCCCATATAAGGAAGTTCCGTTTACAGAAATGAAACTAATGTAAGGAAACGAGAGAGAAGTTACAAAATCGAAACTAACTGATCACACATCTAGAAATGGAGGCATATATACAGAATGGATACCTGTCATAAGACATTTCCTTACAGAAGGTACGTCTCTCCAAATTCCTGAAGTCTCAGCAGCTCCATACCCAGGGGCCGACTGACCATTTGGAAACTCGGGCACTGCCCGAAGGCCTGGGGTCAGTAGGGGGCCCCATGAGATGCCCCTGGTACCTTTTTCATAGGCTTTTTTGAGTCTGGGCAAGGACACAGGGGCCCCATGATCCCCTATTGCCCGGGAGCCCCATGAGTTGTCAGTCTGCCCCTGTCCATACCTGTAATATTTTGCTCATTGATCACCCTCTGCTCCACCTTTATGTCCTGAGCTGTGCACAGTGGACGGCAGTGGGACACAATGGTGATCACTCATACCAGAAACAATAGATAATTTGGCATGGGGACGATCATTGACATCTTTACATGTAGAACCAGTCTCCTGCTGGAGTGAAGTATTCTATCCATCTAGAAGTACCTGGATTAGTAAATATGAACAGCTCTTTACATCCAGCAATGTTATAAACTCAGGATTTTTGTTTTTTCACAGCTTTACTCCATACAGAATCCGCCTCATATTCAGGACAGATACAGCAAGAGACACCCCTCCATGAGACAGAGACAAGGTGACCACAACATCTCTATTTACATGATCAAAATGGGTTGCTGTGCCCATTATGAGAGGTTCCCACCATCCCTGTGCTGAGTTCCCAGGTCTGTACACCTGCTATGCCAAATATGAGGGGTTATCGCCATCCCTGTGTTCAGTTCCCAGGTCTGTACACCTGATGCACGTATTATGAGAGGTTCCCGCCATCCATGTGCTGAGTTCCCAGGTCTTTACACCTGCTGTGCCCATTATGAGGGGTTCCCACCATCCCTGTGCTGAGTTCCCGGCTCTGTACATCTGCTGCACCCATTATGAGAGGTTCCCACCATCCCTGTGCTGAGTTCCCTGGTCTGTACATCTGCTGTGCCAAATATGAGGAGTTCCTACCATCCCTGTGTTGAGTTCCCGGGTCTGTACACCTGCTGTGTAAAATATGAGGGGTTCCCACAATCCCTGTGCTGAGTTTCCAGGTCTGTACACCTGACTTGCCCATTATGAGGGGTTGTCACCATCCTTGCACTGAGTTCTTAGCTATGCAGAGCTGCTGTGCCCATTATGAGAGGTTCCCATCATTGTTGCACTGAGATCCTGGGTCTGTACACCCGCTCTGCCTATTATGAGGGGTTCCCACCATCCCTGTGCTGAGTTCCCGGATCTGTACACCTTCTGTGCCCATTATGAGGGATTCCCACCATCCCTGTGCTGAGTTCCAGGATCAGTACAGCTGCTGTGCCCATTATGAGGGGTTCCCACCATCCCTGTGCTGAGTTCCAAGATCTGTACACCTTCTGTGCCCATTATGAGGAATTTCCACCATCCCTGTGCCGAGTTCCCGGGTCTGCAGACAGACAGGAGGGGGCGGAGACAGGACCAGCCACCCTGCACAAGGAAAGGGGGCAGCAGCGAGCAGTCTTTTTTTACAGGAAGTCTCACACTGGATTACAGATCTGGAAGAAAAACACAAAGCACCCAAGGTTCAAGAAGAATACAAATGAGGAATGGATTTAGATTATATTTACTGATCCTGGAGTTGAGCTTCAATGTAAAGACTGAAGAGGCGGGGTCTCCATAATAATCCATTACAATATGAAAGTAAGATTTTGGTAAATTATAGATTAAAAAAAGGGGAAAGAACATCGTTTTACCTGTTTGTAGGTTAGCAGGAGGAGGAAGAACCCAGAGACAAGGAGTGCCATCATTGGTCAGAGGGACACCTGTAAAAAACCCCAAAAAATTAAATCAGTGCCATCATCCAATCAGATAAGAGACAGGGAGGGACACTAGCCACACAAGGGAGGGTAATGCAAAACCAAACTTAATTTTGACTGGAAGCAGAGGCCAGGACACCCCTGCCAATATCAGCAGTAGTCAAGGCCGCAGGTTCTATACAATAATGATCCATGAAGGTATGGACAGAAGACCATGTAGCCACTTTGTAGATTGTTTCCGGGGAAACTCAGCCCACTGCTGCCCATGAGGTTGAAAACCCCTCTAGTGGAATGAACTGTGACCCCCTCAGGCACAGGCACCCCCTCTCGTCCCCAATGTAGCGATTACTGTACTAGAAGCTCTCGAGCCTTTCCATGCACCGTTAGGGATGGTGAAAAGATGATCTGACTTCCTGAGCTTGGAAGTAGCATCCACATAGTCTCTCAATGAGTGCCCAACTTCCAATGGACTTGGGTCCTGGGAATTTTTCGAAAGGAGCATTGGGAGAGTAATATCTTGCGTCATGTGAAACCTGGAGGCAACTTTGGGTACGAATCCTAGAATTGGTCTAAGCAAGATCCTATCCGAAAAGAACAAAAGAAAGGGTTCTTTAACCATTTCAATACCGGGCAATTTTACACCTTCCTGCCCAGGCCATTTTTCAGGTTTCAGCGCTCTCACACTTTGAATGACAATTGCGCGGTCATAAAACATTGTACTAAAACTAAAATTTTATCATTTTCTTCACACAACTAGAGCTTTCTTTTGCTGGTATTTAATCACCGCTGGGGTGTTTATTTTTTGCTAAATTAACAAAAAAAGACTGAAAATTTTTTTTCTTTGTTTTTGTTATAAACGTTTACAAATAAATAATTGTTCTTCATAAATTTAGGCCGAGATGTATTCTGCTACATGTCTTTGGTGAAAATAACCCAAATTAGGATGTATTTTTTAGTCTGTAGGAAAGTTATAGAGTTCACAAACTATGGTATAGATCTGAATATTGATCAATCCTGAAGTACTGACAGCCAATCTAATTTCTTGAGGTCCAAGAATGTCAGAATAGTACAGATATCCCCCAAATGTCAGAACAGTACAGATATCCCCCAAATGTCAGGACAGTACAGATATCCCCCAAATGTCAGGACAGTACAGATATCCCCCAAATGTCAGGACAGTACAGATATCCCCCAAATGTCAGGACAGTACAGATATCCCCCAAATTACCCCTTTTTGCAAAGTAGACAGTCCGACGTATTTCATAAGAGGCATGGCGTGTTTTTTGAAGTTGTATTTTTTTTGTCATAATTTTTCGGAAAATGAAAAAAATTATTTTCACTATTTTTTTTTTTTTACATACTGTCACCAGTGCAGTACAGCGTCATCATATAACTGGCATGGCGGTGAACAGGGAAACTGACTGGTGACCGTATGAAAAAAAAAATAAAATTTTTTTTAATTTTTTTTATTTTTATTTTTTTTATTAATTTTTTATAATTTTTTTAAAGATTTTTTTTCATATTTTACTATGACCAAAGTAGTACAATGTTACCATACGACTCACTGTCAGCCTGACCTACTCTGACCTACAAAGCCATTCACAACGCCGCCCCAAACTACCTAACCGACCTGATACCCAAATACCACCCTACCCGTACCCTTCGCTCCTCACAGGACCTCCTACTCTCTAGCTCCCTGGTCTCCTCCTCCCACGCCCGATTGCAGGATTTCTCCAGGACTTCCCCCATACTCTGGAACTCCCTACCCCAATCCATCCAACTGTCACCTACCCTCTTCACCTTCAGGCGCACCCTGAAAACCCACCTCTTCAGGGAAGCCTACCCCACCCTCAAATAACAACTGACCTCCTCCACTCCTCCCACCACTCCATCCCTCACAGCCATTAACTCCTGTACCACTTTCCCCTCCCTCCTAGATTGTAAGCTCGAAAGAGCAGGGCCCTCGAACCCCTCGTGTATTGTATTGTTACTGTCTTGTCTCATGTTCTGTCCCCCTTGCTATTGTACAGCGCTAAGCAAACCCTTTGGCGCTATATAAATACTGAATAATAATAATAAAATTCCCATAAAAACATCCTGCTTTTCTCTTGCCAAAGGTAATTTTGTCGGGGCAAAGATTCTGCGGGGATGCCTCAGGAACTTCCAAGTATGGCCGAACCGGATGGTGGAAATTACTCAAGGCTCCTTTACCTCAGGTGCCCACACCTGACGGAACTTGAATAATCTGGCTCCCACGTGACAAGTGTGAGCCAGCAGATAGTCAAAAAGACTTCAGGGACTCCTGTCCCAGAGACGAAGTTGGTCTCTTCGACTTGCAGTATGCAGCAATGTTAGACCATCGATGACGACATTCTCTCCCTGGCCTGTAAGACTTAGGATCTCTACCTCTGGTCCTTGGCAAATTTTTGTATGCTGCACTTCTGTGAACCAGCCTATGATCCTGGGGAATAAACCCCGACTTCCCCTCCCCCCCCCGTGGGTGGGGCGATGGCAGCGTCTAATTTGTTTCCAAACAGGTACTCCCCTTCAAATGGTATCTTACACCATCCTTGTTTGGAGGCTGCTGGGTCCACCACCGAGGGCCTAAGCCATAGGGCTCTTCTGTCTGTTACTGCATTAAGCATGATCCTGGCCAACATCTTAATTAGGTCAATGGATGCCTCTATCATAAAAGTTGTTAGCTTCAAAATTGGCAAAGGAGGCCAAGACCTTGACTTTTCTCAGGTCACTTCCCACTGCCACTTCTGACCCCAAGACTCCATGGCCTTAGAAATAGCTCCCAAAGCCATAGAAGGTCTACACGCCCCACCAGCAAGTGTGTAAATCTTTTTAAGATCCACATCCACTCTTTTATCCAACAGGTCCTTGAATGTTCCTGTGTCATCTAGTGGAAGGGTTAGGTGTCTAGCAAGGCGCATAAGTGCTGCATCCACCACCAGAGGCTCCTCCAAACTCTTAATACTCTCAGACTTGAAGGGGTATAGCTTTGCGAGCCGATTCCTAAAAGTGATTCTCATATCTGCTTGGTTCCACTAATCAGTAATTATGTCCTGAATTTCTTCCATGAATGGGAAATTCATCCCCTCCTTTTTCATTTTTGTTGAAAACGTCCTCTGCTTCTTCTGAGGTTCTTTCCAAAGCAAAGCCGGCCTAATCTCTTTCACGAAAGGCTGAACCAATGCAAAATCAATATCATCATAACGGCCCTCATCCTCCTCTGAGGAAACAGCGTCTCAGGCCGAAGGTTCCTGAGCCTCTTGAATCGCCTGGCTAGCTGGCGGCATCTGTGGAGACAAGGAGCACGAGGTGGACAGAACTGGGGCGGCGAAGGCTGCAATGCAAACGCCTTTAGCGTCTCCTCAAATGCCTGCTTCATTAGCGATACCATCTCCACCTTATCGGGTTCTGTGTGTTTGGTTGCTCTTTTAAAGCAAGTCTCACAAGCCGTCTTGCCCGGCATGGCTCTTATAGGGCATGCCCAGCATCTTCCTGGTCTGGGCTGGTAATTATGCAAATCTCTGTTGTATCGTGATGGGGAGTACTGACCCCTAAAGGCTCAACAGGAACATGAGGCCTCTATCCTTCTCCGGAAATGTCAATCCTCTCTTGCAGATGACCGCCTCCTACACCTTTCTGAGTTTATTCTTTCTGATCATTGGGAAGGATCATGACAGAGACCCGAGGAGCTGGGTCAGCACAGACAAAAAAAAAATGAATATGTGCCTCTGGCGACGTCTCCGCTACCTTCTCTGAGAACGCTGGTCTTTAGAGGGGGTAGGCATGTTATCACTGCTATAAAAAGACAAAACCAAGAGCATGAGGCAGAGCAATACAGCAGATAGAACCATAGGAGCACAGCCTTGCAGGTGCAATGCATACCTGCAGGAGAGAAAGGGAATAGCAGGCGCAGGCAGACTGCAGGGGCACAGTCACATAGGATGCCAGATGCTTCATCCAAAAGCATCTTTAAATTTTGGCTCCCTTAACCCTGGGCCCGCCTCCCTTCTCCTGATTGGCCGAGCGGTCCCTCACATGCTCGGAGCGGGCTGCAGCGTGCACTCCATACTGGCCCCCACACACTAACCGAGTAGCACGGGTAAGAAGCAGGGAGACCAGCGCAGCTCCAATTAGCAGTGTCCACAACTCTCTATCCACCACTACCATCATTCCCAGCAGCCACCATGGAAGGATTTTATCCCTACCAGCGGCTGACAGGAAACCACCACAGGTGTAAATCGGGCACTGCCCGAGGGCCCAGGGTCAGTAGGGGGCCCCATGAGATGCCCCTGATACCTTTTTCATAGGCTTTTTTGAGTTTGGGCAAGGACACAGGGGTCCCATGATCCCCTATTGCCCGGGGGCCCCATGAGTTGTCAGTCTGCCCCTGGTACCACTCCATAGCCGGCAATACTTTACCACGGCCTGATGCCACCCCGAGGACCAGCAGCGGGGCTCCCTGGTCAAGCTGCTGTTAGCAAAAGGAATACAGGGACCGCATCCAACCATGAGAGCGATTCCGGATGGACAGCCAGCCATTAGACCAGCTAGGAGAGGAGACGTCACCTGTCCTGATTGCAGGAGGAAGAAAAAAGAATGCCTAGGCTGAGGTGGGTCAAACATTTATTGAGTTATGTCCTGATCAGGCAGGGGGTAGGTGGGGCCTCACCCCGGCTGTCCTGACATGCAGCCATCAGGAAAAAAAGTTTGTGCTATTGATTAAAAAGAAAAAAAAAAAAGAGCAAAAGAAAATACAAAAAAAATTAAATCAGCTGGATAAATTGCTCCACTGCTGCTAAAATAAAGCAATCCATGGACAAATAAAACAAAATCAGCTAAACAAACTGTTTATACTGTTGCTAAAATAAAGTGAGCAAAGGACAAAACAAAAAATCTGCTAAAAAAAAAAACAAACAAAAAAAAAAAAAAAACACGTTTGCACGATTGATTAAAAAAAAAAAAAAAAAGCCGAG